GTTTGAAGTAGACACGGTGCTACATAACTTATAACCAATAATGCATTTTGGTTGGATGAGAACATAAGAAAAGAAGGCATTGTTAGTTAACTTTTATCCAAAATGCAAACATGCCAACACACAAACATAATAAATAGATCTACAATACAGAATTGTCAGACAGAATTTTGAGCGGTGACGTGTTCTTTTGTGGAATGAAAGAATATAAAACACACTGCTGCTGTAAGTTACACACAAGCTGAGTTCACAAAACAGTTTTATGTATCAAAAAAAGGCATCTTACTCATGAATCAAATCAACCAAGAATCTCTGCATAAACTGATTTAACAATGAAGTTCACAAAACCCAAATGTGGAGTTTTAAAATCAAACATAAATGAAGACGTTACACTCAGTGTAAATGTAACATAATACTGATTTCAGCAAACATGCACACAACAAAACAATATAGTTTTGAGTCCAAAGTCATTTGTTTAGGACACAAAGGGGGAGATCGGGGTCACACTGATGGAGACAGTTGTTCAAAAACATTGGAGAGGAGGATTTCAGTGCCATTAGTTGTCTTCTAGTTGTAGAGCTGGTGTCCCTGTGAAGAGGTGGCCTATGCTGTTGCTCCACAAAGTCTTACAGTGGATGAGATGTCGTCCTCTGATCGTCCTGTCATCATAAATGGCCACGTCTGTTGACACAAAATGCAACAGGTTCATTAGAAGGACGAATACAAACTACTTCACATCACAAACTGCATTGTGTAGTAGAAAAGGGAAATAGCATTGTAATGTCACTGCAAACCCCAAAAAGCTTTGTTGATGCAGTTTCGTAATTAAATATGCCACTTTAGAAGCAGTTTTCTGAGCATGCATGCTGGCCACACTTCACATCCATACCAGATTGACTGGGTGCGCAAAGCTGCTCTCGAATCGATCATCCTGCAGGAGCTGTCTAAGGTGGGAAATGTAGCTGGAGGCGAGGCGAAGCGTGTCCAATTTGGACAGTTTGGTGTCCGCTGGAACCCAGGGCAGGCTGGTTTTTAGTCTAGAGAAAGCTTTGCTCAGCACTCTCATCCTCGCCCTCTCCCTGGCGTTGGCCGCGTTCCTCTGCGACTGCCGCGCTTCCCTCTGGTGCGCCTTGGAGAGTCTGCGCTCCTGCTTGTTCCTCCCCTCCGCACCGTCATCCTCCAGGTCCTCGTCCGAATACCGGCTGGGATTGTAGCAGGTAATTTTCCGAGCAGTGCTCTGCAAAGGGGAGGTAGTCCTTCTGTGACACGTCTCGTCGTCCTCAGCATCACTTGCTGCGGAGCCAGTGGACATGGCTGTTCCACCTGTGCCTCGGAGGTGGACAGGAGTGGCACAGCGGGGACAGAAAACCTCGAGTCTCCAAATGACAAAGATTTTAGTAAAGGACTACTCAGCAGAGTGTCAGTCCTTTTAAAGATCCCATTTGGTAAACCTGTAACTTATGTCACCTTAAAGTGTCACCACTGCACTGGACAGCACTGCAGCACCATGTGCATGAGATAAAGTCAGCTCTCTAACTCTTTGCTTTGCTACCCCTCTAATTTAAGTGTCCTGGATTTGGCATCTGTACAGAGTTTTTTTTTTTCTTTCCCAGAGCATTTCTCCACCCCTTTTTTTTTTTTGCTCCAAGCCACCCTGACCTCAGTGCAGGACCACAACTTTGTCTCTTTATGTAAACTGTTAAACACTTTAATTGCCAATCTGCAACTAGATAATTAGGTTAATCCCTGTAAATGAATGGCTCATTATTGGTAATTCCAGTGGAAGGTGTATTGAAAGTTACTCCAAGGCTGTGTGAGGATTGATTTTTTACAAAACAGGCATAATCCCCCAGATATGTTGTATCATATAGCAAGGCATAAATTTACTGATAATGATACACTCAACCCATGGCAACATTTAGAAGTGCATATACAGCAAACATTTCTGTTTTTTTTCTTTTTTCTTTTTGGGGTTCCACAGATGTGTTTTGGTAATAGAAATGTCTTGAGGACCTTATCAAAAGTGCTTAATCCTTTGCTGGTTTCACAGAGGGATTGGGTTTCTGCAGATGGAGCAGCCTTTCACACGCAGCCTGCGTGTACCAGCCCCAGCTGTTATCGGTTCCCATGACATCTGGAGCGTTGGCATGACAAGGGTGTGGCAGAGGCAAGGAGGGACCATCTTCATTCTCATAGTATCACAGACCTTTTTTTTTTTTTTACTGTGCATTTTTTTGGCCATTTTTTTTGCTTTTGTTTTGAAACTTTTCTAAGAGTTTCAGACAGGCTGGCATGCTTGAAATCAACTACTCAAGAGAAAAAGAGGAGAGAGTGAGATTTCCTCAGGCTAGAAAGAAGCTAAGGTAGAGGTTTCAAAGTAGTTGCTGAGATGCCTACTGCCTGAAAAGTCTCAGAGAAACATATGTTTTTGTACCAGACCTCGACAGAATAGATGTTAAAGTTTTACGATTGGAAACATCAGTGTGCTGCATGCAAAACTCAAAAATGCAAGTCATGCTTTGGAGAAAACCTTGAATGGGCTTCTCTCTGAATAAATGGAATGTACTTACAGGACTCCCTCCTCTGCTTTCTCAAGATATTCCCAGAAAATCCCAGGTCGCTGTTAGCTATTACACCACATAATATGTGTGAAATCTAGATTTTTTTTTCTTTTTTATGACAATAGCAAGACTCTGCCAAGGATTACCTAACTGCAGCTGAGATGCATGGTTGATTTTAGTGGATGGCCATGCCAGGGTCACTGGAGAGATAAAGGAGGAAATTACTGTACTGCACTTGACTCGGTGCTGTACAGTACTCCAGCAGTTCCCAGGATGGTGTGTAATTTATTCCAGCACGCTGGCTCAAATCCTGCTTTATTAAACTACATAAATATTCAGCCTATCATAGCTTGTTATATCTGTTTATTGCTTTCTTATCATGATCTTCCAACTTGATTTTTCATTGTCAAAATGCAGGTCACAGTGATTTTGAAGCATTGTTTGCTTTTCTCTTGCTCAAATTTCCGTCTTTCACAGGCCAAGAATGCTCTCTAATCCAAGCCAATGTCACATTCCCGTGCTTCCCGTAATCCTGCTTTTCCATGCAGTTTTTCACAAGACCCGAGATCAGCTGGACCTTGGAGTGATCCCCCCCCCCCCGGCTCTTAGTGTATCCTTGGATGTGTCATGACGTTGAGATATTAAGTTCCACTTGCGCTGGTAAGACAGTTAGAGCTTCGGGCCGGCGGCCAACTCATCCTCTGTCACTGCATCCGTCAGCGAGGTGAACGGCCTGACTGACACACTTGAAGGTGCAAGCTAAGGGATTCTGCTGTTGGATTTATTTCTCATTTGATAAGCTGTCTTTCGTTTTTTTTTCTTCTTTTTTTTTTACCAACACTGAAAGGCATCGGCTATATGACACATAATTCAACCTGCTGCTTCCTTGACTGTCAACAAGAAGCCGGTTGAGCTATAACACTCTGCTCATTAGTCATTCTGTACGTGTAGCTCCTCAGGTAAAGAGAAAATATTGTCCAAAACATCAGCGTAATTGATGGTTACATGGTTATTGTATTTGCCCTGGGGATAATTAAATTCAGGGCCAACAGCAATAAATATGACTCAAGACTTGACTTGAAGGGAGAGCTAGCATTCGTCTATCAGCAAAGACTTTCAGGGGTCTTGACCTTTATCGGGGCCCGATTCTGGAGAAGCAGAGAGACAGGTGCAGGCTCATGATGTCAGAGGCCTTTCTCCATTTCCCTCCCAACTTCTTAGGATTCCCACTGAAGCAGCTTGCAGCGCTTTAAGCTGCAGGGCGACACGGACATAGAAAAAAAAACCGGGAGCAAAAATCAAACAACCACTGTGAAGCTTTTGAATTTTTATTGTCGTATCATGCATTGAACCGTGCCCAATGGTTCATCTGTGTTACATAATCAGATTTTCACACATTCACGTCTACAACTAAATGTAAATGCCACTGATAAAGTAGGTTTTTTCATTCGCCATCTGACGAGAGCATGTATGACTGAGTGCTTTACAATTCAGGCAAAAAAAGCAAATAAAACATGAAGCCACATTTTAGACAGAAAGAAAATACACAGACAGAAGAAAGCTACTTTTAAAAAAGTGTAAAACACCATAAGATACTAAAAAAAAAAAAACTGTTGTAAACTGCAGTCGCTCTTTAATTAAAGTGGAAAGCCGACATGAAAGGTTTTAAACATGATCAGGAAAACATCCAACTGGATACTGAACTGGATGGGAAGCCACTGCAAAGAAACCAAATTTGGTGTTAGATTAAACCTTTTAGAGGACTTTGTAAAACGCTTGGCAGTAGCAATTTGTTCCAGGGAAGTCTGGCTAAGGTGGGTGATAAGGGAATTAAAACAGTCATCAACAGTATCTTCAAATTCTGCAATTAGTTTTTCTTACAAATCCAAGTTGGACTTGACATGTGATTCATCCCCACATGGGAAATTTCCTCTCTGCTCGTATTTTAGCTGTAGATTCTGCATTAGTGATCTCAACCAACAAACAGGAAATTGATGAAAATTGATAGATTCAATGACTGCAACAAAACCATTCCTTTATCTTTTGGTTAAAACTTTAAAATGATGTTATGGGTTGAGACAAATAGGAAGCTGAAACATCTTATCTGGAATATAAAAGAGCATGCACTGGCCATAAAGACACATTACAGTACTACAGAAACAACAATTGTGTTTGTAATAGAGGTATGGCAACACTGAATACATACCACAGAATGATATTCATTTATCCACAGGTCATTAGTGCAACTTAATAATGCTACCGTGTCAGTCGACAGTGGAAAAAATTACAATAACACCACAAAGATCACAGTTTTACATTCAATATGCAACTATCCTCTATATTCAACACTTAAGATGCACCTATTTTATATCACACATGACTGTTTAAGGCTGTGACAATTCCCTGTGCAGTAGTTGTAGCTACGTTTTCTTTAAGTCCTCTTCATTTGCGTTTGGACTCGATGGCCTTCATCAGCGGCACCCAGCGAGACGTGCTCCGTCCTCTTGGTTTCACATGACTCAGAGTGGGCCACATGGTGCCCCGGATGGTCACAGGGCCGTCGTACTCGTCGGCCTCGGACGTGATCTCCATCTTCTGGATGATGAGCTTCAGGAGGCCGTGCTGCTTCTCCAGGATGCTGGACATCTCCTTCATTCTGCAGAAGAAAACAACAGTTCAGTGAAATACCTCATTGAAAATCAGCCCTTTGGAACATCATGACACCGAGACACATAATGCGCTTACTATACAAATTGATACAAGGAGTCACCACTAGGGGTCACTCATGCATCAAAAACAATTACTACACTGCTTTCCACTTCTACATTGTTTATGCACAGGCATGCATGAGCCCACTTAAAGTTGTTGCACCCTATTTCCTTGTATTTGCAGTATTAAATCCAAATCATTTACTTTTCATCCTTGCAGTAATAAGCCTGCACACTTTGATGATTCTAGGAAATAGAAAACTGACCCTTATGTTATTCATATGTGTACGTTTGCATGCTTCACCTTTGCTTCTGCTTTCTGAGCTCCGTCTCTATCACAGTGCAGCTCTTTGATTTGGACTGCAGACGATTCCAGACTTCATTTGTTTCCTCTTCACCAAAGAATATCACCTTGAGGAAGCGCTGCAATCAACAGTGGACGGGATTAATGAAGAGGAAATACTCACCTAATGCAGGCTACAAAAAAAAAAAAAAAGTACAGTATCTGTTTATGGCAAACACTGATCATACCCTGGAGCATTTGCGGTTGGGGTAGGTGGTGACGGAGGGTTTGTCCACTCGTTTCATAAACCAGTAAGGGAGCTTGTCTTCCAGAGCGGTATGGAGGTCAATCTAAGATCAGAAAGTCAGTTGTTCAGGCTGAGGCTGAGGTTCAGTGAATGGAGAGTAATTTTCCTCTGAGAGGCTTTGGTAAGAGCAAAACCATACATTCTTAGGCTAAAAGAGACTATTATTAATTATATTCTTAAGGGCTCCAGTCGCATTCGTCACTTCTAACAACAATGTTGCCTTATTGCTAATTTGTATTGGACCTAATTAGTCATAAACACATATCTGGTTTTGCTATGTATTTTAAAGTAATGACCTTCAATATATAATCTCATGCAAATAATGGTGTAAGATGTCTGTATTCCATGTATAAAACACCATAGTGTGTTCTATTGTGCTTGTGTTTTAGATCCTTTGTGCTTGTCTGGTGGACAGGGCAAACACACAGTGAGGAGGATAAAAGATGTGATGCATTTTTAAAACAATGCTTTAGGCACAGACAAGCTGGTTCCTTACATACCTGCATGGCTATTCGTTTTAGGGCAGCATTTCTTTGAACTTCAGCAATGTCTCCAACTGCTAAACCAATCTACCATCCAATCAAAAGACAAAAGGTTAGCGCACACTAAATATTAGCATTTTTGTCAAGTATATACCAAAAGGAGCCTATGACGATGTTGTAAAAGCAATGAAACAGCTTTCCCTAATATATTACGAATGTATGGCTACAACTGCTTGAAAATGTAGCTCCATGGAGACGGTCCATTGCTCTGCTTACCATCAAGTTCACCAGTAGGATTGGCATGAGCAGAACAAAGCCCACAAAGAAGAAGTATGTCAGGGGACCAAAAGGGAGTTCATGGTTCAGATATGCATCCAGGAAGTTATTCTGGTAGTTCAGTTCTCCAACCATCATCACAAAAGTTTGCATCACTGAGAGTGGGACGCTCTCGAACTCTCTCTAAAAAGAATACCAATGTGTAAATGAAGGTTAGTAAAAGAGTTATACAAATATGTGTTATTATATAACATACATAGGTCTAGCATTGATATTAAAATGCCTTAAATCGCAGTACAAGTACAACAAAGGGTGAAGTTGATATTATTGATATAAGGTACTGAAATTTTGTCCTGATCTTAAGTGTAAAGTCAGACGATCACTAAAGTCACTACATTACATCCTCTGGGGACCGCGACTGTCTATACTGAACTTTGTCCCATTCAATGTAACGGATTTTGAGGTACTTCATTGGACAAGTATAAGCCTTAATCTGTAGTAGCAGAAGAAAAGTCAGAGGTTTACCTTTTCCAAGTCAATGATATTCATCCTATGGGGACCATGACTATGTGTAACAATTTCATGGCAATTCGTCTCCAAGTTGGTAAAACATTTCACTCCAGATCAGAAAAGTCAACCTCAAGCTTAGGGATCATCACATGCCAACGACCGTGGCAGAAAAAAAAAAAAAAGATGACACACTGGTTGTGTTTTTAACTGATTTAAATCCTAACTGATTGATGGAGAGCTTTTAGTAAGCACTGAAGATTCCTCATCTAAGAGCCATAAAATGAACTGTGGTGTTCCTCAGAGTTCAATTTTAGGTCCAACACTTTTTAATCTATATACAGCACCCTCCATAATGATTGGCACCCCTGGTTAAGATGTGTTAAAAGCCTTAAAATAAATTCAATTTTTATTGCAGAAGCACACTCTCACACTGAATATTGTAGAAAAATGTAACTTTCAACTCAACTCAACTCAAATGAATTGTAGGCAAAAGGGGGTTGTAAAAAGTATTAACATTAAGGGTGCTAATAATTGTGGCATACATGATTTGATCTTAAAGAATTATTTTTTAATGTGGGATTTTTTTCACACTGAATAAATGCACTTGAATTAAAGGTTGAATTTTCCTCCTTTTTTTCATTGTGGTCCTATATTATTTAGAAAAAAAAACAGAATTTACTAGAAGCTAAAGAACACATCTTAACCAGGGCTGCCAATAATTATGTAGGGCGCTGTATGTTATCCCTTGGAAATGTCATCAGGAGATACGGCATCAGTTTCCATAGTTATGCTGATGACACACAGTTGTACATCGCCATGTCTCCTGATGACCCCAGGCCAACTGAGGCCATTTTAAATTGTATTTTAGACATTAAATTCAAATAACTTTTTACAGCTCAACCAGGACAAAACTGAAGTACTGGTCATTGGAACTGAAGCTCAGAGAGACAAGCTCAGTTTACAACTATAAGTTCTGGCCTTAAAACCATGCCAACAAGTAAACAATCTTGCAGTTATCTTGGACTCTGCAATCAATTATGAGCACCACATTAAAAATATTACCAAGATGGCTTTTTATCATCTAAAACATATTGCTAGACTGGGCCAGTACTCTTGAAAACAAATGCAGAGACACTAATACATGCTTTTACTACATGCTGATTGCCCACTGTAATGCTCTCCTATTTGGTCTCCCTAAGAAGACTGTACACCCACTCTAATAACGTTGTTTGTAAAGTTTTATTGTAATTTTATTTGTTATCTGTAAAGCACTTTGTGTTGCATTTCTGTTTGTATGAAAAGTACTATAGAAATAAAAAATATATATGAAGTGTAGTGCCAAAAGCTGCAGTTCTTTAAATTGCCACTTGAGGCTGCCTCCAAAGGTAAGTTAATACTTATGGATGCTCATGTTAAAATGCCCAACTTTACAGCAGAAACAAACATGTTTACAGGCTGATACAGTTCTATTACATAATTTTAGATCTATTACTATTTTCCTTGTTCATTATAACTGTTAGAAGGGTTTTTTTTATTTTATTTTTTTAAATAACTCACTCATTTATATTGTATTGAGGCTTAAAAGTATGCATAATTGGACTGTTGCTGCTTTAAAAGATGGTGGAGTTAGGCAGAATCAGATACTGCTACAATGGTGATGGCCAGAGCCTTGAACCTCAAAACTGCTGTTAAGGAAACCTATGGGTGACAATAGAGAGAGTTTGTCTATCATTATTTTCAAACAGCGAGGATCACCAAACACCAGATTTGCTTAATTTAATGCAAAAGAAAGTGCATATCCAAAATGTTTTTTAACTTTAAATTTGATTGGGCATTCTTTTCAGTGCAAATGGCTTTCAGGGTTTGCTTGCAGTAGGGACAAAACATGTTTAACAAATGTTTTAAACCCATTAGAGTGGGGTCTCTTCGATCCAAAGCACTATACAGTATGTTAAGATGCACTGATGAAATGGGAATTCATGGTACCAATAGGACGAGGACTCTGGTAAACATATTACTTTTCTTCAAACACTAGGTTTAAAATGTTCCTGAGATTGTTTTGAAAACTGATGAATGAGTGTAATTATACTCCAAAGAGGATCAAGTCTTGTCGATCACCACACGGTCCTGTAATCTTCCCACAGGACAATGTGAAAGGAGCTTGAGACATTTATGCTTATTTAGATTAATGCATTCTTCTCCTACCTGATTGAGCATCAGGGCATGGAATGCCAAACTGAATGCTAACATCAGGTAGAAGAACAGCATAACAACACGGATCAATGTCCTCATGATCTCCCCAAACATCACAACGTAGATGCCAACACCTTCAAACCTGAGAAAACAGGAGAACAGAATAGTCAGTGGTCTGAACACCATGAAAAACACACTGAAATAGAGAAATTAGGTCCAAATGAATAGCACCTCTGGAGATAAAGGAGAAATCCAACCCAGGAGTTTAAAACTGCTATTGCACCTGCTTGCCAGTGTAATGAGCCCTCTGAATTGAACATGACAGGGATTATGAACAGAAGGGAGAAGACGGCTGAAATCCAGTCACATTGGTTGGAATAATCCCTGAAGTAACTCCAGCGCTTTAAAGTAACAGGAAAAGAAAAAATCAGCAAATACAAAATAGCATAATTAGACAAACGACCTAGATATTTGACAATTGTTCCAAAAATTTTCCTTGCCTGAGTGGTCAGTACAGAATTTAGCTTAAAAACTACCATGCACAACACTATTTTAACTGTGTATTACTTAAAATGTAATGTGATGTATAACTAAAGTGTAGAGGTGACACCGACTGCGGCCTTACAGTGATCCTGTTAATCTAAATCAGAGGACACTCATCCATCACACCTGATTGGTAATGTGTCCACACAGGCCTGGTGCTGAACAGATTTATGGACACATGTTTTATATGAGGTAATGACACTTGTGTAACAGTCACTGTACCTGCTGTGTAATCTGCACCACTTCCTTCACTATTGAGTAGATGTTCATAATCACGACCATCACCATGCAAAAGCTCATGAACAGACTTTGCTGTGAAATGAAGAGCAACGTTGAGATTTATGTTATTCAGTGAGAGTGCATCACAAAAAATGATCACCATCTGTTATGGTAAGTCACACGATTTGTCACAGCAATAAAACCACTTACAGGTGAAATGTTTGACACTGATTATCTTGATGCAATACAATGTTCTAACAGGAAACCTTGGGTCTTGACATGGATTTTCACCCATACCACCATCCTAAACAATATTAACCCAGTTGAAGACCAAGCCACCCCTCCCAGCAAGACAATGTGCTCTCCCACACTGCAAAAACTGTGCATGAACAACTGTAGGAACACAAAAAAAGAGTCCAAGACAAGTGTTATACTTTCTATGCTTGTGAGTACCCTTGGATCTGCTAATGTTCCGCAAATTTTTGTCATCTCCCCAAATTCGTGAGCGTCTGCTTGGATCATTCCGCACATGTTCAGCCCAAAATTCATGTCCGTACGGATAATACGTAAGCTCAGCAGTAATGTGTGCAAAAAAAAACGTAGATACAACCTACTGAGAATGTATCCAACTCCATACCAAGTACAACTGATGCGGACATGCAGTTGTTACAATTATACACTTTCCTTGCCCATGGGAGTCCATTGGGAAAGTACGCCACACCCTTGTAACATAGTTACCATGTGGACTTGGTGAGTTGTGGACCCTCACATACTCGTGGAAAGTATAACATCAGACTAAAGCTTTGACGCTGCCTCCAAATTCCCCAGATCCCAACCTGGTCAAACATCCAAGAGATGTGCTAGAAAAAATACCACCCAACAACCCACCAGACCCAAAGGATCCACTACATCCCAGTGCTGGACACCACAGGATGCTCCTAGAGCTTCTGTCTCAGAACTTTTATGGCAACACAAAGTGGAAGCTACAGAATATTAGGTGGTTTCACTATTGGACTGATTATTAATTACGTAATTACATAAATTAGACATCCATAGAGCTTTAACATCTTTGATACTGATCAGACCTCTCCTTCGTACCTGGGTGAAAGATACTGGCACCATGATGATGTCGTGTCCGCCCGTTTCAGTGGTGTTCATAGAGGGCCTTAAAGTCACTATCAGGTGAGTTAAGGGCATTAGCCCTAACAGGTACAAGAACATGTTGAGAACATGAGCCGTGCTCCCATATGCAACCCTGCGAATAAAGAAAAAGACAGTCAGGGCTAACATTCTAAGTAAGTCATTCACTGGCATTTTGCAGCAGAGTGAATCGTTCTTCTTCTAATCAGATCAGCAATTCTATGTGAGAATGAGAAATGTTACTCTCAGGGATGAATACACACCACTTCATTGCCAGATACTTTTTGCAGACTGGGTGGTTGAGGAGTTCAATGCGGTTGTACTGCACCATTGCCTGCAGATAGAATAACAGAGAAATAGTCCACAGTCAATAGTACATTTTCCACAAGCAGGTAAGAACAGCCTGACAGCTAATGTCTAAAAGATTTAGAAGTATGAGCCGGTTATTGATCTGCACTCGCATAATGTAGGAGGACATCAGCAAGCAGAAATAGACCATTTAGTATTTCTAACATTGGGTGAAAGATATGTGTTGAAAGATGGTTTTGTTTTTGCGATTTATCAAATAATACAATAATATAATGCCATTACTAAAAGGAGTGGTGATTGCTATGTGGATGACTGCAAAACAAAAATTACAAAATGTACCTTGAGTTCAGTGATTTGCTAGAGGCCTTTAAAGGGCTCTGTAGATTTGGCCATTTACCAAATTGGTCAACGTTTGCATGCAGATTAAACCCCTTTTGAACAAATCATAGTTGTCTGTTAATTTGGAACAAAACTAAGGCACTTTTATACAATAGTTGTGCAGCACATCCTACTTTTATGAGGGTTACAGTGTGTAGTTTCTTGGTGTTAATGCAGCTGTTTGATCATTTTGGAGGTTGCAGTAGGTCATGCAACATAGTGATAGGTGTTTCTATTATTTCGTCTATCGCATTTATACAATGAGGTCTATCTGTGTATTATTTATAATACTGAGCGAAAAACATCCATAGACAACACACAGTGACATTATTGGCAAGTGAGCCTCAGCCTGACCTCATGGTTTATTCTGACAGAGTCTTTGTTGTGGTCAAAGAAGTCAGCACAAAGCAGTTGGCCCATTGACTCAAAGCCACCTCACCAGATTTGCTTATCTGTTTACAACCAAACCTGAGCAACAGATTTGGTTGTAAACTTTAACTGCTCCATTTCTCACACTAGACATTGCTAACCTCAGCATGCCTCCCTGCCTAGTGGCAAACATGGAAGGCCAGTAGTATGACAGCAGGAATATACTCTGTTACCTTTTAAGGCAGCCACAAGAATGAGAATCCAAGGACACACACTCAGATCAGAACTTTTCGTCAACATCGCACTGAGAAAGTGTCATCTTCATTTTTGTCATTAGCTATGAGCAGGTGTAAACACTGTGGCTTTGCAAGGTTACACGATTGCGCTTCACTAACCTGTGCAAGGAAAAGTAAAGTCTCTCATGTCAAAGCCACAAACCGTGGCTATGTAGTTGTTGCTGTCACTGCAGAAAAGTGGCTGGAGAAAAGTATCATCACTGTCCCTTGAGGATAAATGGGCAAGTCCTGATCAGATGAGGTGAGTGTTTGAGTCTACAGAGCCTCATTAGAGGGTGATGCGTGACTAAAATAGAACATGACTACTTAGAAAGCATGGGGGGAGCAGAATATTTGCATTCTCCTGCACTGACATTATATTTGAGAAAAAAAAAAAAGTTACTTACATTGAGCGCAGCTAGTGGCTGAAACTTGTAATTCTTGTCAGTGATCTTCTTTGCCATAATGGGAGCCTGGAGCCACTCAAAGTCATATTCAATCTACATCACATAAAGACGTGTTTAAGTATTTTTCTTTTTACATTCTTTATGCACTAAGAATAGTGGGTTGTTTTCATTGTTCAGCTCAATTACATGGTATTCAGGACTGTTGTGGTCATCATCAGATTCCCTCACACAGCGATCCAGTAGGTGCTATTGAAGATAGTAGCAAAAACACAGCGACGCAGCTTTAAATCATTGCCCAGTGCTCAGTTAAAACAGGTTGCGTAACAGAAAAATGCAGATAAAATAGTTGTGATGAATGTGTACACAGATTAATGTGTTTTTTCTTCAGCAGTGGCAAACCTTGTAGGTCTCAGGCAAAAACTCAATCATGTCTACTATGGGACATCGCTGGCTGCTGCCGGGAGTGAACACCTTCAAAGCCTCAGCACACCTGGAAGAAGACAACCACCAAGAAATATTAGAACAACTACAATATGCATATTGTTAAAAATGACTTTCCCAACGGTAGTTTTGAAAAAAATATACTGTGGGAGACAGAAATCACGACTAAATACTCCTCAAAATACTCACAAAAACAAAACTCTACACTAAGCAGCTTGTAAATCAAACTTTGTTCTCTCATAAATTGAAGGATTAAATGTTGCTTTATTGACTGTGCCCTACCTCTAATGCTAAACAAACAATTTAAAACCCATTAAAATACCTGAAAGGAATCAAATTGCAACATTTTGAAGATCAATGGCAAAGATAAAATCCTGAATAAATAGATTATACTAACAGTTAAAAGCCGTTTTAGACCGATTCCTTCTTTTTTTCCATCTCTCTTCATAGAGTTGGCACTTGTATGATTAACATACCTTTCACTGTCAATTACAGCATTGACCACATCTTTTTTCCCGTTTTGCAGAGCTTCATGAAGGAATGAGGTGTCGTTCTTGTTCACGATGATGTCTGCTCCCCGAATTAGCAAGAGCCGGACTGCAGCCACATGTCCCTCTCTCGCAGCGAAGTGGAGTGCAGTGTTCTGGCATATCGATATATAACAGGAGATACATTTCTCTGCTTTTACATTAAAACAGCAATGTTTGTATCACTTCCACGCTGCTGGTGGTGGTGACCATATATTTGTGTGCACATGTGCAAAAAATGTGTCACCGCAAAATATTAAGTCAACATTATGCAAATAATTTACCTTAAATTAATAGCTTAAATAAAATTTTGATGCCACACTGAGTTGTAAAAGGAAGAATGGCACCTCTTTCATTACTGGTCCGCAGCCCCAAACATCTGTTCTTTTGTTATGTAACTTGGGCTGAGTGGGTACAATCTCACAGTGCATAACACTTGACAACATTACATCACACATCACCAACTGTGGTCCCTCAGCTACCTGGAAGAAAAAGCTAGTTTGGTGTTCTCGGTGCAGACGTCACAGCTGAAGCGAAGAGCCGAAAGATGTTTTAATGGAGGAAGCGAAAAAAGAGATGAAGAGAGTCATTGAGCGAGAGGCTTATTCTTGGACTCGGGGGTACTCAGTCCAAGCCACTTAACAACCAATATTGAAGTTCATTAGAGGCCTACACACCTACTCATACATCAGCTAAGGGTTTCATAAAAAGCATATTGCATGTCCTGACGGTATACTTCTACATGGGAGTCATACCTACATAGGCGCATGATAAAAGTAAGTGACCAAAAAACTGATTATATGACTTTTTTTCCCAGTTTTCCCACACAGAGAAAAACAAATGATCAGTTTCTGTGGCACCCCAGTGTGAGGAATGGTCTCACCCCTATAAAAACTCTGGCTCTGTCACTGTGCTCGGATCCACTTTAAGTCATTGGCAAGAGCTTCACAAAACAAAAGGCTGCAGGACAGATGCTGACCTGGCGTTCTTGCTGATAAGTAGGAAGAGTAAGTAGCATTAATTTGCTTACTACGTTTTGCGTTGTTGCACTTGCTGGCTAGTTTTTAAACGCAAGCAACGTTACCAGGGAGGGGTTTTGCCAGTAGCTAGACATGTCGATGGAAAGAGAAAGCATCTGCTTCACTCAGCTGGTAAAATAACTTTTGCAGTATGTTGGTGAAATTTGTTGAAATGGCAGTTTGATGTGGAAATTACATTTTTAAACAAATTGCTGTTTGTGTGATTGCTGTCTTTAAAGTCGTATAATGACCTCACAAGCTGACAGGTTTGGTGCTATAGGTTTGTACTATACGAAAGTCGAGACTTTCATTGTTATGCTGCAGTTTCAAGGTGAAAAAATTAACAAAACTTCACCAGAGGGGATCTTTAACAGACCAGAAACCTGTAATTCCCACTTGTGGCCACAGAGACAGCAAAAGTTACATACTGTTGCTTTAAGTCAGGGGTGTCGAACTGCGGTCCTCGAGGGCCGCAATCCTGCAT